GAAGGAAGCTGCTCTTACATCTAGCATCACCAATGAGGCCTACTTTCCCGAAATGATTTATAAATGTCTCATTCAGGGAGAAGCACTGGGTTTGGAGCTAATAAACACGGATGAGGATGCTGAGATTGCTAAGAAGCTGGTGATTGTTGCACTTTGGTGCATCCAGTGGTACCCGGTGAATCGGCCTTCCATGAAAGCAGTTGTTAGAATGCTAGAAGGAGCCTCTGAAAACCTGATCATGCCGCCGAATCCTTTTGCTTCCGCAACAAGCACTCAGAGTCAGACAGAGCAAGCAAAAACAACACTGTCAAGTGATGCAGGTGATGAATGCACTTTTAGCTCATTTTCATCCCAACCAAGGTAAAATCTAAGAAAACACAAAAAGGAAGTAAAAAGCTATAAAATGTCAAGAACTAACTCAAAATAGTGGGTGAATAACATGAAAAATCATGTGTAAAAATGAACCGAACACTGGTTCGCTAGTAGTTAGTAGTAGAAGATAAGTTAAACTTGTTATGTAGCAGGTTGTTTCAGTTTCAAAGTCCCCGTCGGAGACAACACGCCAAGTTTAAAAAATGCAAGTCTTAGCATTCTTTCTGACAAATTGCGCCACATTTTCTGCAGAGACCAAATCAAACCAAATGGAAAATGATTCAAACTTTATTTGATTGAGTCTTCGCATACTTTTCATACTCTGCATAGCCTTTGCGTACTTTTAATCAGAGAGAGAGAGTTTCTTCGACCCGATGATAGGTGCATCATTAGATTAATTGGACTTAACGCGGTTCGTCTACTTTTGCTAATCACAATTTGCTACGTGTCCAGATATCGAAATAGTACAACGTGACTGTTTGTCTTCTTTTTTTTTCATTGGCTGGTACCTTTACCCGGGTCTCATCCGTTTTGCCGTGGATGACCCGACTGTCCAATGTCAACAACGCGCTGGAGATAGCCCATTTATGTTTGGGCCTTCAAGAAAAATATAAAAGATTATGGAAAAATGGGCCCACAAAATACTTCCCGTTACTGGGCTTGGCCTTTGTTTGATGCAGAAATTTTTTCCACCTTTTATTTTACAATTATGGAAGAAAAGGATAATAATGATGACTGGAGATTATATCCCCCGCCATGAAAAACATAAAAACAAAAAATCGTACTTCAAAAACTGCCAAATTTTCAGTGGCTGAAACCGAGCTCAGCAGCAGCACGCATGATCCACCCTCTAAAATGGCTTCTCTTACCTTCCTTCAACCTCTCTCCAATCTCTCTTCCCCTACCACCCTCGTCTCTCTCAAAAATCCCCACCACATCCCTTCTTTTACTTCTCTAAATCCCTCCATTATCCCCAAAACCAGCCCATTCAAATCTTTCACAGCCTCATTCTCTCTTGCAGAATCAAACTCCCCCAAATCCTTACAGCCCAATCTTCAGCCTTTCCTCCAAGAACTCGCTGTAAGAAACCATTTCCTATTCAAATTTCGAACCTTTGCATCATGATTTCAATGCCAAAACTTCCATAAATTTTGTATGCATTCCTTAGTTTTATGTTTTCAATGTCAAAAGTGCCTTAATTTTAGTTTCAGTTTTTAATTTATTTTTTGTTCTGTTCTGTGCAGGATAGTTTTGATCTTCCTCAAGACTACTTTGCGCAGCTTCCGAGCGATCTCCGTCTCGATGTGAGTAGAATTTTTGCAATTCTCAGTGAACCCAGTTTCTTTAATTTGATAAAGAATGTGACTTTGAACTGACAGAGTTTTTCAAATTTTGTTTTGGGCATGTTTGAAGCTGAACGATGCAGCTTTTGATCTTTCAAATGGACGGGTCATTGATGAGGTTAGTTCTTTCCATTGCTCTGCCTCTGCATTCTGGTTGAAATCTGATTAATACTTTCCCCTCATCCTTGGTCTATTGTCTGTTCAGCTGTCAAAAATTTCTGCTTTTGAGTTGATACAGTTTTTAATCAAAATTACTGTCTTTGGATTTTCTTATTTGCAGTGTGGTCAAGAGTTGGGAGAGACATTGTTAAATCTCTCTCGTGCATGGGAAGCAGCTGACACATCAACTTCCCATGCCTTAGCTAGACAGCTCCCTGGGTTGGGGGAATCTTTGACAGGCAATGCCAAATCAGGCAAGAATGAAATTATATGCAATTGCTGCTTTAGATGTATTCTTCAGATTTTGATTCAAAAGCCTATATCTATTTCATTATAGCATTTGGGAAGCGTTTGGTTTCTGCTGGAAGAAGGTTCCAGTCTATGGGACAGTATGGTCAAGGTGAACTACAAAAGGTATGTTATATATCACTTGGGCAAGACCGAGTGTAATGTGGGGGACTAAATAATCTTTTACTTCCAAAAGCCAAAAGATTTGTTTATTATTTTAATACAAGCCAAAAGAAACTTATTTATGTTGTTATTGTGAATGAAGATACTTTGGGAAGATCTACGTGAATCCAAATACTTTTGCGTTAAACCCTCTAGTTATATTTCAGAAGTTTATGGAACAATTCTCTATTCTATTATAATGCAATATAACTAGGTTTCGTGCGCCTCTAAAATAGCAGTATTGTTGGACTCTGTTCAACCATTATAGATTGCAAAAGTAATGATTACGACTGGAAGGGTTCTATCTGAAAGTTCAACATCCACGGTCACTGATGAACAACCAAAGAAGGAAAGCAGGATGCTGAAGGTAGACGATAGCACTGCACTTGATGGAAGTAACAACGCATGCATTTATTCTATATTCAATGGACGTTTTTAGGCTACATTGTAGGTGCACTTGATATGATGCATTAATGTCATTGCCAACTGCAGTTTGGAGAACTTCAGCTCGAGCTTACATCAGATAAAGCCATCATTGGGGCTATAATCAGCGTTGGTTTTGGGTAAATATATTGGACTTAGTTCTCTTTTCTACTTTTCTGTTGTAACAATGAGGTATAAAAGAGATTTCTATTCTTTTTCCTTTAAAATTTCAAATGTAGAATTCTTTCATGGGAGCTAGCTCAGGGCATCCAAAACATCCCAGAGAGTTCGTTGCAGTATGCAAATGAAAACGCTTTGATGCTGGCTAAGGTGCTTGAAGATTATCTGTGTCATAGTTGTAGCCTATGTTTTCTATTATAATCTATTACTGCATACTAAAATATGAAGGTCAATGAATGCAGTCTTTGAGAGGAGCTCTACTTGCAGTCTGCTATTCATCAGCATTCTTGTCTGCTCTCACTAGCGTTGGACTTGTCTTACTTGGAAGACAACTAAAGTCATCAAAAGAAAAGTGAGCTTGGTATCATGTTTACCTTTCTTTGTATATGCACAAGTCGGTCCATCTGTTTTATGTAAAGGAATTCTCTGATAGAAGTGAAATGAAATAATGCTCAACAATGGTCTCAAGAAGTGCATAAGCTAGTTATTAACAAAACAATTGTATCATAATGTACCAAGTTGAGAGCTCTTCTGTGTTCATGCTGATTATCGTTTATTTTTTCGGGAACTTTGTACCCCAAAAAAGGGGAATCTATGAACCTACATTACTGTGGGCTTCAAGTTGCAAGATAGTTCTGTACAGTTCTGGGTGCATTTTATTAAGGCAAAAGCAAAGGGAACTTGTCCTTGTAATAATTCAGGTTTGGTTGTCAGTCGCTTTCCTGTCACTATCCCCTCTTTGTTGTAAATGAATTAAAACTATGTGGCGACTTGAATTGTATGTATGACATATGTAAATGGATTTTTTGTATAGACTTTATGTGTTTGTTTGTTGAGCAATTCAAAATCTTTGTTTTATAAGAAAGTCGAGCGTGCTTGAGATTGAGACAATAGTCAGCAATGCTGTCACAGGTTCGTGAGCCAGACAAGTTTTCTATGTGGCAAGACTTGTCTGTTATTCTGGTTATTGCGACGACGTCCTAATTACTGCTAACGTAGGATGTTTGAAAAATACAAGTATGATTATTAATTACCAAAAAATAAAAGAAAAGTACAACTATCAGATGATGTATTAATTGTTGGTTTGAATTGAATATAATTGGGATGGGAGAGTGTCGAGTGTGTAAAAGGGATATAATTGACATTTAACCCTTAATGAGGATTCTCTTATTAATAATAGTATAGATATGGATGAATAAAATCCAATTTGCCAATTTGAGAGAACCCCACAGAGATTAGAATCTTCTTGTTTGACCATGCAACTTGGCTTCAAATTGCATCACACTAATAGTAATGATTTTTTTGTTTATATCTTAAATTATTTATTTCAACTTACTATCGCCCCTCTCAATAAAAAAAAGTTAAAAAAAATTATGTCATCATGTTTATATCGGGAATCAAATTGATTAAACAATATTAATTTTCCTATTATAAAGTAAAGTTGATGCGACTTTCGCATGACATAATTAAGAGATACCCAATTATAAGAGACGGACAAATCTAGGCGTCACATTTTACTTTTTATATGCCTCAAAGGTTCCTTAATTTAAGAGCCGCCAAGTCTAAGGTATATAAATTAAGAAACCCCTCAAAGTAAACAAAAAGCCAAAAGAAACTTATTTATGTTGTTATTGTGAATGAAGATACTTTGGGAAGATCTACGTGAATCCAAATACTTTTGCGTTAAACCCTCTAGTTATATTTCAGAAGTTTATGGAACAATTCTCTATTCTATTATAATGCAATATAACTAGGTTTCGTGCGCCTCTAAAATAGCAGTATTGTTGGACTCTGTTCAACCATTATAGATTGCAAAAGTAATGATTACGACTGGAAGGGTTCTATCTGAAAGTTCAACATCCACGGTCACTGATGAACAACCAAAGAAGGAAAGCAGGATGCTGAAGGTAGACGATAGCACTGCACTTGATGGAAGTAACAACGCATGCATTTATTCTATATTCAATGGACGTTTTTAGGCTACATTGTAGGTGCACTTGATATGATGCATTAATGTCATTGCCAACTGCAGTTTGGAGAACTTCAGCTCGAGCTTACATCAGATAAAGCCATCATTGGGGCTATAATCAGCGTTGGTTTTGGGTAAATATATTGGACGTAGTTCTCTTTTCTACTTATCTGTTGTAACAATGAGGTATAAAAGAGATTTCTATTCTTTTTCCTTTAAAATTTCAAATGTAGAATTCTTTCATGGGAGCTAGCTCAGGGCATCCAAAACATCCCAGAGAGTTCGTTGCAGTACGCAAATGAAAACGCTTTGATGCTGGCTAAGGTGCTTGAAGATTATCTGTGTCGTCGTTGTAGCCTATGTTTTCTATTATAATCTATTACTGCTCGCTAAAATATGGAAGTCTATGAATGCAGTCTTTGAGGGGAGCTCTACTTGCAGTCTGCTATTCATCAGCATTCTTATCTGCTCTTACTAGCGTTGGACTTGTCTTACTTGGAAGACAACTAAAGTCATCAAAAGAAAAGTGAGCTTGGTATCCTGTTTACCTTTCTTTGTATATGCACAAGTCGGTCCATCTGTTTTATGTAAAAGAATTCTCTGATAGAAGTGAAATGAAATAATGCTCAATAATGGTCTGAAGAAGTGCATAAGCTAGTTATTAACAAAACAATTGTATCATAATGTACCAAGTTGAGAGCTCTTCTGTGTTCATGCTGATTATCGTTTATTTTTTCGGGAACTTTGTACCCCAAAAAAGGGGAATCTATGAACCTACATTACTGTGGGCTTCAAGTTGCAAGATAGTTCTGTACAGTTCTGGGTGCATTTTATTAAGGCAAAGCAAAGGGAACTTGTCCTTGTAATAATTCAGGTTTGGTTGTCAGTCGCTTTCCTGTCACTATCCCCTCTTTGTTGTAAATGAATTAAAACTATGTGGCGACTTGAATTGTATGTATGACATATGTAAATGGATTTTTTGTATAGACTTTATGTGTTTGTTTGTTGAGCAATTCAAAATCTTTGTTTTATAAGAAAGTCGAGCGTGCTTGAGATTGAGACAATAGTCAGCAATGCTGTCACAGGTTCGTGAGCCAGACAAGTTTTCTATGTGGCAAGACTTGTCTGTTATTCTGGTTATTGCGACGACGTCCTAATTACTGCTAACGTAGGATGTTTGAAAAATACAAGTATGATTATTAATTACCAAAAAATAAAAGAAAAATACAACTATCAGATGATGTATTGTTGGTTTGAATTGAATATAATTGGGATGGGAGAGTGTCGAGTGTGTAAAAGGGATATAATTGACATTTAACCCTTAAAGAGGATTCTCTTATTAATAATAGTATAGATATGGATGAATAAAATCCAATTTGCCAATTTGAGAGAACCCCACAGAGATTAGAATCTTCTTGTTTGACCATGCAACTTGGCTTCAAATTGCATCACACTAATAGTAATGATTTTTTTGTTTATATCTTAAATTATTTATTTCAACTTACTATCGCCCCTCTCAATAAAAAAAAGTTAAAAAAAATTATGTCATCATGTTTATATCGGGAATCAAATTGATTAAACAATATTAATTTTCCTATTATAAAGTAAAGTTGATGCGACTTTCGCATGACATAATTAAGAAATACCCAATTATAAAAGACGGACAAATCTAGGCGTCACATTTTACTTTTTATATGCCTCAAAGGTTCCTTAATTTAAGAGCCTCCAAGTCTAAGGTATATAAATTAAGAAACCCCTCAAAGTAAACAATTTTTTTTTAAAACCTTCTTATTAGTGTTGCCTAACAACACGCAAGGATTTGTTTAACAACCGAAGACTTTTAAAGATGCAGACAAAAACAAAAGAATTAGTCTAATTGTCTCTATCATGAATCATGATGATGCTCTCATGAACGTGACACTGTGCAATTAAATTCACAAGTTGCAAACTCTACGCTGACAAAGTGTGGGTGGGCAATTACTGTAAACAGCATTAGAACGTGTAACAACTGAAATTAGTTCTACAGAGAGTTGAGATATTTTTGTTGTTGTTGTAGTTGACAAATGATGGGATATTTATAAGATTAATAGGATAAATAATTCATGACATGACATAGCTACGCTATTATAAATAAGTTGAGATATTTTCGATATTTTCGTGTTTGTGTAAGTCAAGTTTGAGAGTCTCTCCAAAATCAAATATATACGTAACTATACCACTAAACCAAAGATTAATTGATACATAATTGGTTAATAAATTGATGTCACACCTAAAAATGTTAGTGAACCAAGTGATCAAACTCTATCTATTAGACGATCGATGACCAAACAGAAACAAGTAGTATACGTATCAATTTCTTGTTCCCTGCTGTTGCCCTTCACAAGTTCACATGCATATATATATGCAGAGGAATAATCCAGTAGCCTAACTTTCCTATTGCTTAATTTTGTTAGTTTAAACTTATAATCATCCAAAATCAGCTTTAACATCATCTGTTGAATAATTTCCTCTACTCTTTTTTTTTTTTTGTTGTATTAGAATTTATTAATAAATCTAAAATTGAAAAAAAAGTATTTTCCATTAATTAATTTCATCTGGTCCACAATGTTTTTGATATAGAATATGGACCCCATAATCACACAGTTGCATTAGGGAGGAGTGCATGGCCACACACTCCCGGTATTCCTTTCCATTTGCTCTATAAAAAAGACAGAATTTGTTCTTCACTTCTTCACTTCTCCTCTCTCTCTCTCTCTCTCTCTCTCTCTCTCTCTCTCTCTGTGAGACAAACATCATGGGCTCTCTGACCTGCACAGCCTCCGACCTAGCCCCTCTTCTCCTCACCACCACAACCACAACCGCCAACGCCACCGCCATTGCCGAATTCCTCTGCAGCCGCTTCACCACCATCTCCGCCAAATTCAGCGACACCACCTACGCCATCGACAACACGTACCTCCTCTTCTCCGCCTACCTCGTCTTCGCCATGCAGCTCGGCTTCGCCATGCTCTGCGCCGGCTCCGTCCGCGCAAAAAACACCATGAACATCATGCTCACCAACGTCCTCGACGCCGCCGCCGGCGCTCTCTCCTACTACCTCTTCGGCTTCGCCTTCGCTTTTGGCGCTCCCTCCAACGCCTTCATCGGCCGCCACTTCTTCGGCCTCCATAACATCCCTTCTCCCTCAGGCGGAGATTACAGCTTCTTTCTCTACCAATGGGCTTTCGCCATTGCCGCCGCCGGCATCACTAGCGGCTCAATTGCTGAGCGAACCCAATTCGTTGCTTACCTCATTTACTCTTCTTTTCTAACCGGCTTTGTCTACCCGGTCGTTTCTCATTGGTTTTGGTCTGCTGATGGCTGGGCCAGCCCGACTCGGCACAATAATCTACTCTTTGGTTCCGGTTCCATTGACTTTGCCGGCTCGGGTGTTGTCCACATGGTTGGGGGTATAGCCGGTTTATGGGGTGCTGTAATTGAAGGACCGAGAATCGGGCGGTTTGATCGAACAGGCCGGTCCGTGGCCTTGCGGGGTCACAGCTCGTCTCTAGTGGTTCTCGGTACGTTCTTGCTTTGGTTCGGGTGGTACGGTTTCAACCCCGGTTCGTTTCTCACGATCTTGAAGAGTTACGGTGAGGGAGGTACTTATTACGGTCAATGGAGTGCTATTGGGAGGACAGCTGTCACGACCACATTGGCTGGGTGCACTGCTGCTCTGACTACCTTGTTCAGCAAGAGATTACTGGCGGGTCACTGGAATGTTCTGGACGTTTGTAACGGTTTGTTAGGGGGTTTTGCTGCGATCACCTCAGGGTGCTCGGTGGTTGAGCCGTGGGCAGCAATCGTGTGCGGGTTTGTGGCGGCGTGGGTTTTGATCGGGTGCAACAAGCTGGCGGAGAAGCTAAAATACGACGACCCATTAGAGGCGGCCCAATTGCACGGCGGGTGCGGTGCTTGGGGGCTAATATTCACAGGGTTGTTTGCAACGGAGGCGTATGTGAACGAGGTATACGCTGGAAAGCCAGGGAGGCCTTTTGGGCTGTTGATGGGCGGCGGCGGGAAGCTGTTGGCGGCCCAGATTGTGCAGGTTTTGGTGGTGTTGGGGTGGGTGAGTGCCACCATGGGCCCACTTTTCTACGGGCTCCATAAGCTGAAGTTGTTGAGGATCTCAAGGGAGGATGAGACTCAAGGAATGGATATGACAAGGCACGGTGGGTTTGCTTATGCTTACCATGATGAAGATGATCCATCATTTAAACCTGAGTTTATGATGAGGAGGGTGGGACCCACTGATGATGCCAGTCCTGCAATAACCACCCCATAATTGATAGATAATCTACCCTAATTAAACCTCGTCATCATCAGAAATCAACAAGATTATGCATCATGCATGTGTGATGATGATCAATGGCATGATATCATGGGATGGGATGTTTATGTTTGTTTGCAAAAGAAGACAAAATTTGAACCAGCAAGCTGTTGGGAGGTTCTGATCGATCCTTATTTAATTAGTTTTCTTTCACTGTTCATATGAATGAATGAAGCTATATACATATTTAATTAGTTTTTTTTTCTTTTCTGTCTGGCCAAATGAGATAATTAACAAATAGGTAATTCAGTTATATCATAATTATCATGTTATTAATTATGAATATGGGAATTAATGGTATAGAATTAGATTCTCTGGTCTGATCCATAAATATTAGGATGCACTTGGGTTGGGTTATGGACAGTTTGTGGGATCAGATTCAATGAGACAATGTTTCCCCTAATCTGTATCTGTATCTGCAAGCTTAACAACTGCAAAGCAGAGACGTTCTTCTCCATAGATAGGAGGATTGTCGTCATTGTTAACTCGAAACGACCACACCTGGATTATATCCTTTTTCTGAAGCTTATTCTTTTTCTTCTCTGAAATTTTGGACCAGCCACTGTTTAACACAAAAGAAGAACCACGCTTGCTCTTGCTCAAGCCAGAACAAGACCTACTTTTGAACTTCCACTCGCTCAACTTTAACTCATACTCGTTTAAATTTGGATCGATTACTTTCACTCTTATTGATCCCTCAAGTCTCAATTTTTTCTTATCTTGTTCCCCAAGAAAGTCCTGGTTACTCACTTGATTCTTTGGCATTGAGAGACGGTCGTGATGCGTGCTCAAATCGGTACGGAAAATTTCTTTCTGAATTACCAATTGCACTCTGAAACCGTGCAAGGATTGAATCTTGTTCTTGAATTCTATAGGCATGTCTGGTGGTGGAGAGGGAATTGATGATAAAGCTGATCGCATGCTCACTGTTTTCTTGGCTTTGTTCTGCTTCTTCTTAATCAACTTGCTTACTTTCTCTTCAATACACTTACATTCATCTTCGTCTTTGCTGCTTCCCAAACTCTGCTTTCTAATTTTCATATGGTAATTTCCAGCAGAAGTAGAAGCAGCTTTTTCTTGATTATAATTATTCTTCTTGGAGATGAATGCTTCTGCTTTCCTCGCTTGACTTTGAATGAGATCAAATACAATTCTTTCTGTTAGCAATTGATCCTGTTCAACTGGGTCTCTTGAGACTGCCTTAACCTCTTCCACAATTTTGTCAAAAGAATCCAAACTAGACTTAATCTTTTTCAAATCTTCAAAGCTCATGATCCTCGTCGTCGACTCCATGGAATGGAATTACTAAAGCTCACCAGTACTTGGATGTATCGACAACAAAGATGGAGAAGGAAGAATGTAGGGGCTGTTGAAGTTATAGGGGCAGCACATTTATATATTACTACTGTTTACAAGCGAAATCCTTCCCTTGGTGATCAAGGAAAAAACATCAAATAGTACTGAAGGACAATTTGAATTAGTAGAGCTTTCAAATTCAATACTCACCTGGATTCAAAACATCTTACGGATTTATATATGGTAAAGATTATCATAAAAAGCGGATACTCTGTATTTGTTTATACTAAGAAATCCCAATTCTTTTCTGATTGGGATTCTCTAAAAATTGAAATAGAAAATTTAAAGAACATAACAAGCACGAAAAAGGAGTCAAGCCTCATCTCCATTTCAGGCAAGCCTTATCATGTTTCTCTGATGTGAAGAAAATGGTGGGGAAAGTATTCTAGCATCACAACTCAAATCACATGATGACAAAACAGAGGAGAACAAATATAATTATAACTTGACAGAAGAATCTTAACCAAACAGAGACCAGAGATCATGTGGTATTTTAACCCCAAAGTTTGTTCTTTTTTCCTATTTAGCAAGAGTTCAGACAACTCTTCTGATCCAAACCAAGTCTATAGACAAATGTGATGATACACAAAAAGTATTTTCCTTTTCTCAATTTTTCAGATATGTTGATCAATGAATCATTATTTTTCTTGACACATTCATAATGTTGTTAGACTAAATGAGAAAGAACAAGAAGAAGAATTATAATTAAGAGAAAAGGTTTCAATTGTATTGATTCTCTCATCATTTACAATGTATAATCTAACAGATTGTAGCTTAACTAGTTAAGCTGACTTGGCCTTCACTATCAATGAATCACATAAAACAATTTTCTACAAAAAAGAAAAAACATGAACATAAAACTCCCTCCTTCAAATTTAACAAGTCTTATACAACAGGAACAGCAGCCTCAATTTTTTGCAAATGTTACATCTCTAAACTTGATTGTGATATGTTTCCTGGCTCCAAACTCAGACTGGTTCTTGGCCATGGATGATTCATTAGCTTCGTCGCCGCGGGCAGTGCTACCATTAACATCTTCTTTCTTGCTCATCGACGTTCCAACAGCTTCCATGTTGTCAGTACCACCATTAACATCTTGTTTCCCCTCTTCTTTCTTGCTCATGGACGACGATGATCCAATAGCTTCCTGGGGATCTTTAACATCTTTATGCTTAACAAGTGCGAAGCAGATACGTTCTTGGTCGACAAGATTTGGATCGGAAACTCGAAATGTCCACACCTGAAGCATATCCTTTGCCTTAAGGTTATTAGTCTTATCTGTAAAAATCTTGGACCAGCCACTGTTTAACACATAGGAATAGTTGTTTTTAAAGACCCACCTCTTCATCCTTAATTCATACTCTGATAAACACGGATCTATTACTTTCACTTCTAATAATCCACCACCTTTCAATTTTTGCTTGAGTTCTTTACCCAGAAACTTTTTGTTAGACAGTTGATTCTTTGGCATCGAGAGACGGTCATGGTGCGGGTTCAAATCAGTAGGATGAATTATCTTATACATCACAAATTGCAAGTGGTGACCATTCATGGATTCAATCATCTTCTTCAATTCTATAGGAGGCGCGTCAGGCGGTGTAGAGGGTTTTGATGGTAGAGCTGATCCCTTGCTCTCTGCTTTCTTGGCCTTCTCCTTATTCTGCTTTTTCTTCTTCATCATCATCAACTTGCTAGCTTCATCTTCACCATCATAATCATCGCCATGTTTCCTTTTCCTGCTTTCGAAACCTCGCTTCTTAATTTTCTCAAGATAATTTCTAGCAATATCAACTTTTTCATCAATGTAATTATAATTAGTCTCTGTGCTAACCACCTTCCTCTTCTTGATCACAACTTGGGCTTCCACGCGTTCTCTCTTGTTCGAAATCGACACATTCGATTGTTGTGCTTCCTTGGATTTTCTTTGAAATTCATGAATGAGATCAAACACAACTCTTTCTGTCAGAAGTTTGGATACTTCTTCTGGGTCTCTTGCTACTGCTTTAACCTCTGCCACAATTTGGTTAAAGGACTCATTACCGAACTTCTTCTTTCTCAAATCTTCCAATCTCATCATCATCGTCATCTTCAATTTCTTCACCACTTCTTGAGTGTAGGAACTGAGATTTATGACCTAGTTAATTAATTTCTGAAACAAAGATGGAGATGATCAATGCTACTTAGAATTAATTTATAAGCACAACCCTTTCCTTATTGATCAAGGAAAAGCTTCATCTATTCCCAAACCCACAAGGACATATTTGAATTACTTACCGGGCTTTTTAATCCTCATTTCACCAGGGTTTAACGCATTTACTCTTTTGCCATTATGCTTTGACTGAATTACAGAACCTCATTTCCTTGCAAATTTACCCTTTTTGCTATTCTACAATAAAGACAAAATATGTTTTTCTTTTTCGTTTCTTTTTTCTAAAGGAAAGACAGAAAATTCTATGTCAAAAAAAACAAAAGCCAATAACTTTTTTTTTCTCGGGAAAAAAGTTACCACAGGGGCAAATAGTAAATTGATAAAAATTCTGGCGCCAAAGCTTGTAAACCCACTCATTAATGAGCAACGTCTTGCAGAAAAGTCAAAACAGAATCCAAAAAAGTAAAAATAATCAGAATCCTTATTGGATTTGGACATACATGCGAGACAATTAAAGGAGCCAGATGGATTAAATAGTTCCTGATAGGACAAAGTGAATTGAGAGTACACTAGGGTTGAGAGTATAGGAAACTTGATGCCCAAGTAATTGAGAGTACACTTAGGGTTTGGTGGGTGATGTTACTTACTTTACTAATTAGTTAATTGGTGGTATTAGGGGTTTCTTCTCTCCTCTTATTGCAACTACGGTTAAGAAGTGGTGAAGAAGTCTATTTTCATGTCCTAAAAAAAGTGGTGAAGAAATTAATTAACTAGGTCACAAATCCCATTTCCTACACTTAAGAAGTGGTGAAGAAATTGAAGATGATGATGAGATTGGAAGATTTGAGAAAGAAGAAATTCGGTAACGAGTCCTTTAGGACGTGGACTTTTTTTCATGTCCTAATTGGTGGTATCTATTTTCATATAGCTTTGGTATTCTTCATACTTACACCCATTATCAACAAAGCGAGCAGATCTTTCGTACTGAAGTACTTGGCCACTTGAGATAGTCCCAACTGGATTGCTTGCTAATGGAAAACCATCTGTAGAATAAGAGAAGAAAATTAAGAAAACAAAACAAAATCCTTTTTCAATAAGTAGCTCAAGAAAAATTACTTCAATAGTAATGACGTTTTGCAATTAAACAAGACCACAAAGGCTTTCATTCTGTAATATGTAGTTACAGGCTGATGGCCAATACCTCCATGTATACTGATAAAGTCATCATCCGAGTCAGACTCCAGAATACTCACTGAGTCAAACCAAACTTCCTCTTGGAAAATTACTGCAAATGAATAACTTTCAAAATATGAGATTCAAGAGCTATGAATTTTCTTGTCAGCACTATTGGTTGAAATTGAAAGATAGTTGAAATCTGATGAAAGAAAGCACACACCATTCGAATCATATTGACTGTGGTGCCATTGCAGCTGGGTGAGATGGAATGTTGAATTAGAAACCTTAGATCTTCTGTGAGTAGTTGTTGCACCATTCTCAAAGTCCACATGAACAAACTCACTGATAGCATAGTCACTCACGCGAGCTCCTACATCACTATTTATTTTCTTGAAACTGGTATTTCTTTTCTTGGTACCATCTGAAGCAGAGCAGGTTGCCTTTCTATGGCGTTTGATGACCTGCTGACAGTGTTTTTTCCTTGATTTAATTGTTTTGGATGGGGTTGACATGCAACCAGCCATTGTAGCTTTTAAATCATGCAAGTCCCAACTATAACGATACCTTCATCAAGTCCTCTCCAACCTGTGTGCCTACAAATGAAACAAAATACATCAGAGAAGATTAAAGGATTTCTGGAAAGCAGTTTCTATGATCACAAATAATCATGAGAACACAATCAATTCTTTCATCATGAGACTGTTTCAGTAATTTATGGCTCAAACGCTAGGCCAGTTAACCAACTGAACACTTGGAAATTATTAGAATCAAAAGGATGACACACAAAGGTCTCTATGTTTAATGAGTATGGTGGCACTATTAGAAAGCACCTTGGTTAGAAGTGACTGGTAACTTGAAGCACTACACTAGTTATTCAATCAATTTGTAGATGAAAATTTGTGCAATCATCATAAAAATCAAATGTCTGATTCAAACCTTCACAAACAAAGTTGGATGTATCTTTCCCAGTCCCATAGATAAGCCACTTATCTATCTTAAGCCCCAAATCTTTAGATCTGGCTCACTAGAACATAAACATGACCAAAAAACAAAAAGATAGTACAACCACCTCAAGAACAACTCAACAAAACCTTAGTCCCTATTATCTATCTTAAGCCCCAAATCTTTAGTTCTTACTCAGGTTTAATTAATTATAAAGTACCTTTCTCTTAAGTAGTTGGTATTTGCAAAGTAAATGGGAGCATCAATCTCAAGTATGAGAATTCCAGGAACATTGCTTGCATTGGGATACTGCTCAACATTTCTGTAAACCATGGAATTCAGAAGGTTTCCTTGAACAAACGTCCTTGGCCTTGCCACAAACAAAAGTACCCTGATCACAGATATTGCAACCTACACAGAAGAAAAAATAAATATTAGTTCTAATGTGTAGTTTTAAGTTGTTAGATCTAGTGTTACCGTCACACACAATAATGATACGTACCGCTAAGACTAGTCCAATTTCAACGCTGCCAAAAACGACCCCGATATAGGCACTCATGCAGACAACAAAGTCAAACTTGTCAACCTTAGAAGTGAATTGTGGCTTCATACGTGGTCTATGACAACAAGCAAAGCCCAACTATGTGTTTCAGTGTCTGTATATTCCCAAGTCTGATTCGGTCAGGATTTCCAATTACTCATCCAACTTAGGCCGAACCAGATTCCTAACAATTACATACTATTTTTACAGGCTAAAATCTCTATTGCTCCCTCTAGTAATAACTTCTCGACCACATCTTTCTCTTTTCAGGATGCAAAACACATAATCAAAAGCCAATTTTCATATAGCGGCCATCAGAAATTGAAGCGAGTTCATAATTTAGCTAAAGTCAGGAAAAAAAAAAGGACCCGCCTAGACCCGCCTAGGCGGCCGCCTAGCGCCCAGGCCGATTTTTCCAACAGCCTAACTGAACAAAAGCACAATTTATAGGTTTTGAGCTCTAATTATGAACATCATTACCAAATTTAACATTACAGAACAAAATCCACCACCTGTTCTAGATTTATGTGCATCATAGATTTTCCAAAATAAGCAAAATATAAAGATAATTTAGTTAAAACTACAAGTAATCTGAATGCATTCAACTAAAAAGCAGGAATCAAAGTAATTGGAGACTGAGCTTAGTTAAAAGAAAAACCTTGGGTTGAAGAAACTATCCCACCCGCCAGAGTCTGCGGCTTTAGGCTCGACTGGAACCAAGCTTAAGTTTTTCTTCAATTTCCTATCTTTCTTGTTTTTTTTTTATTTCTTGGGAGACGTTCTGAGAGCTCAAATGAGGAATTGCCCACCTCTTTTTTGGCCTTGAACTTGAAGACTTTGATGGGAAGTGATTCAGTGAAGCGAGCCAGGCAGGGAGGGAAATATAAAGCTCGTGTAGCCATTTTTGGCCTTTTTTTTTATAAAATAAATAGTATAGCCGGCTATACTATTTAAATAATATTTAAATGGTATAGCCAGGCGGCTGTACTTCTTAAATATAATATATTTAAAAGGTATAGCCGCGCGGCTATAATGACATCTTTTTTCTTTTTTTCTTTTTTTCTTTTTTTCTTTTTTTCTTTTTTTCTTTTTTTTTTTTCCCCTGATTTTCGTTTATCTGTCATCTCTTTGAAGGAGTGTACAACACCACTTGAGAAGCATGTGCTTGCAGACGCCATATCTCATAAACTAGACACAGAAGAATCAGAGGTAATCTCCATGTCTGTTTATATATTCCATCTGCAATGGGAAATTGGACTGAGGTGATGATTCATTTATTAAAGCTTCAATACTCTCTTCTTTTTTTCTATCTGGAACTTAAAGCTTTACACCAATTATTTCCTTATCCATAATGGGTTTGCAGTTTTTGATTGGTCCTGCACATTTTCTATCCTCTTTTGAACCTGTATGAACTCTTCAAAAATCATCTAGACATGTACCCATGAGTTCTCAGTAATGCAATTATGTTCTTTGCTTCAATACCATCGTGTATGGTCTTCTAGCTAGAAAGTCTTTTGAAAGACTTGCTTTTTGTATTAGATGAATTGCGGAGCCAGTATTTGAATATATGGTTTATCTTTAGAATTATGCAAGTTGTTTGTGGCTCCAGGATTCTCTTTTGAACTTCCTTTTATTTTACTTTTGAGCCCTCAAATTTCATATATAGCTTAGGATGGCCTTTGCATGTCGTGGCTTGTCTTTCCTTGCCTTGGCACCCATTCAAGGCATTTCAAGAAAGTGAGGCTATTGGAAGCTTGGCATGCGTACCCTTGCATGCAGCCTGCTCGCATCATGCTGGCAGCCTGCGCGCAGCGTGCTGATTCTATCGACAGAAGTTTTCGAAACCTTGTCATGCCATGGCTCGCACGCAGCATGCACATAGCCTGCGCGCAGCATGTTGAAGGTTTGGTGGCTGTACTCCCAACACAAAAGCATAACCGAGGACAACCCCAAGCAAAAGTTCACCTGAAGCCAACCCATTGTTGCCCACACTAGTAGGTGAATGGTGTGCTTCACGGGGTTGACATAGACATTCCCTCGCAAGCAAAAGATTGGCATTCCCTAGATACCAAATAGACTAGTATAGATGGTAAATTAGCTGTGATAGAATAGCAATGCTTGTTGTCTAAATTCCAAGATATGATTTGAAGGCACATATGTCAACCAACGATCTCTAAGGTAAATTCTTCATTCAATCATGCATCTTGATTGTGCTATTTCAAGAATTATTTCAAACTCACAATCTGACTAACATTATGATTAAGAAGACTTTTTATTTAAAGAAAGATAGATTTAATTTATAATATGCTTTCCAGTTTTGAATATTAAGAGAAATATGTATGTGAGAGGTAAAGGGACTCAACTCATAATTACTACTCAATCTCACTCAAATACATAAAGAATGAAATATATATTTAAACAGTATAGCCGCGCGCGGTTATACTTTATAAATATATTCGAATATTTACTGATATACACCTTAAGGTCCAAGGTATTGATACTTTTTTAAAACTATCTATAACTATACACCTTAAGGTCCAATGTATCTTACTGATAATATATCTTCCTTTGGTTACTGCAGTTCAATAAGTTGTGAAATAGGGTGCTCTTGCTTGAACCGTAGATAACAATCTGAAATTAAAGTCAATTTCATCCCCTGGAAAGCACGGTAAAACAAAAGTTAGCAAGCAAAGCAAGAAAAGGCCACATAGTACCTGGAGAGTCTTGGGAACTGATGGTAACTCCTTGCTACTTGTATTTTATCAGATCGACTACTAATCTCACACCTCTTTTTTCTCGGGAAAATATCACCGAATATCTTAGAGGGAAAAAAAACGTTTAGTAGTTTTAATCAAAACCACAGGGCAGGGGCAAATAGTAAATTGACCAGATTTCTGACGCCAAAGCTTGTAAAATATAACAAAATTGACGGCAGAGAAAAATTTCATTTCCAATATAAAGAAATACTGCTATTTCCAAGCCTGTTTGTGCAATGCAATACACCAATACTTGTCTTATTTAATGATAATAATACACAACGCTAGCTAGCTTTAGCTATTTTGCAAACTCAAAAATGTGTACGTGGAATAAGAAAAATACAGAAACAAGAATGGAAATAGCATATTCTTATAATTACATAATTAAAGAATTTGAAAATTTATATATATAATGCAATTAACTAAAGTAAATACTTCATTAATTGGAGCACACATGATGGATCAGTAATTAATCATATAATATGGATTTAAGGGCATCGTGAATTTTTGCCAGGGCCACCATAGTAGAAGTGCGTGCCCCATTCATTGTTGTACGAGCTCTCGATGTTGTAGCAATTGGTGTTCTCAGCCAAAGTTGACACACCTCGGACCGAGCTGAGGCTGTTGTCCGAGTCCACGATCTCAAGGTTTCGGAAATAGCTTGCTTTCCCAAACCCGTCTTCAGCGAAATGACCCGAACCCATTTGCGTGGCGGTGTGCTCACCGTTGGCTCTTGCGTTCACCACCTCGCCACCCCATTCCACCATCGTCGCCTTCTCTGCCAAGTGTGTGAATAACTCCGCTGGCCAGTACCCTACAAGTGTATTGTCTCCAAATCCCATCCACCAATTCCCTAGCTTTGGATCCTACACACACACACACATTCATGCATATATACGTACATTAACAAAACCGATCATTAATTAAATTTAATTTATAAGGTAATTAATAATGTTCTCTTACTAAACTTATGTTGATAACATAAAAATGTTAAATTACGTACCTTCCATATGAGAATGGTGACATCGTATTGGTCGCTGGCATAGGATGAGACTGGAGAAATGGAAGCTCCAATTGCTATCCTAGTGTTTGTTTGGATAAACCCAGAACACAGAAG